CTCTCTATGCAAAATTAAATAGAAACTCATGTATAATTGACTTTGGCAAGAAAAAAAGAGATGTAAAGGTAAGTTTCAAGACCTTCTTATTGTCAATTACTAGATCCTTTTAATGACAGCAATCCAAATACCCTTATATTTCCTTTTTAAAATTAAAAAAGTAATATATATCGACAAATGACGTTTCCTAACAGAGTTCATTCATGCTTTGGCAAGACAGCAGTTTTGAACTTTTAGTATTTAAAATCTTTACATCTTAGATTAAGTGTAAATGGGCATCAAACCTTGGGTGAAAAATGCATTCAGAAAATTGAATATAGGTTTAGAGAATGTCAGGGGCTCTAACTGCTCCATGTCAATGTCTGCTTATTTTAGGAAAAGATTTAAATAGCCATTAACATCAGAAGATTTATGTCATAAAGTTTACATTCCTTAGGTTGGGATTTGGACATGCCTTTTGTTTCAAAATGAAACTGTTTAAACTACTAAACTGCACATACCATTGACCTGGCAACTCTTCTCTCAGTCTCTTGAAGGAGGTTGAGAGAAGTTTCTATCATGTCAGATCCCTCAGAGGAAATGAAACTTTGACATAGACTTTTGTCTTGTTGGCTCCCCTCTTCTCTGACCCACTTCTTTTAAAGCAGTATTCCAGGTGGGAAGTTAGGTGGCAAAATAAACAGCCATGTATTTGGTTGCATACATATTGAGAGAAGCTTTTTTTTTTTTCAATTTCACCTGTCTTCTTGAGTCATAGAGCTTCTCTTTGTTTTAAAATTGCATTATTTATAACTTCATTATTTCATATGAAGTTTTAGAAATTATTTTGTGAGTAGCTCAAGAATCATATTATTTTCATACTACCTAACTTAAATGTCATTACATGATATCTTAATAATGCATTATAAAATCACCACCAGCAACTCTGCTTTTTGCCCATTTAAACATCCTTTTTTATGGTACGTAGAATAAATTTTTATGCCACAACCCTGTGTGAACAAGGAATATTGTTTCACCTTTGCTTTCTGTTTAAAGGTAGCTTCATATCTAAAAGGTATATTGTTAAAAGGTAGGGCTGACTGCACCCTTTCCATTAATTTGCAGGTGTCATCATCTGTAACATTCATTTCCTCCATCAACAAGCTACTAATCCAAAAATACCTTTTCCAGAATATAGATTTACAAAAGTGGGCATGGTAACTGGAATGAGGAAAGCACAGAACTTGGAGGGAGATGTTGGAGGATACATTCCAGCAGGTTTAAGTTAGAAAATCTTATAAGCTAAAAGAACAAGAACACACATGCACTCAGATATCATAGAGTTTGGTACCAATGTGAGATTCTGAGTCAACAGCTTTGTATAAAGGGTGAGTTGATTTAACTCTAAAAAAATAGAATCTAGCACATCTTCAACACAGTAGATGAATTCCTGCCTGCTGAAAGCATGACTGGATGTGGTTACAGGAGCCAATGACGAATGAAAGGGAACGCCACTGGAAAGGTAGCTGAAGTAATGCAGTTAAAATTACATTTCTTTCTCGACAAATAGAGGTGCTAGGTCTTCCAGAACCTTGCCATCTATTGTTTATAGTCCGACTAATGCATTTCTTTTAAAACTGGGGACTTGTGATGGGGGATAGTGGGTTCATTGGTAATAGGGGGAGAATAAACAAAAATTCAACCACTGTTTTCATCTACCCTTGAGGAATGGCATCAAATGCCCCAGAGTCATACTACCTTATGTCAGCAAGCTTGCACTGTCCTCATACCAGCCTTTGCTCAGTTTTGTTTCCCTGATAACACTCTACGCTGTCATCCCTATTCCACTGTCACTAATAGATGGAGTTCTGCCTTTTATGGGAACTCCAGTTGTCATAGCAGTATCATCACACAGAATCATGTTGTGTGCAGGGACTGGGTATAATGTGAAGAAAACTGTATTCTTGAATTCCAGGAATTCCACTCTCACTTTACTACACCAGGTTTGTAGCAGATCAAAATCAGTCCTGTGTTTGCTATTTATTCTGCTTGAACTCCCCCAGAGGAAAGTAATCTTGAACAAAATTTTGTGATTGTTTCATGTTCAGACTCAGTCCCCTGACCTGAGCTGTTTACAGCTCACTGACCTTGCCCAACCTATTCTAACATTGATTTTCTCCACAGAAAGTGAATCTACGATTCCATAGACATCATGTTGAAACAGACCCATTCTGCTTTACTAAATACAGTGGTGGGGAAAAGAAAGCCCTCCTTTCTTTAAAATTGTATATTAACAATTTTAGTATATTTCAGGTTGTTTGGTACAACACCTGGGTACAACACTGATGCAACTTTATCTAATAGCTACAGTAGTATTTAAATTATGTAGTAATTAAGCTGGTTTTGGTTCATGCAGGGTTTACTTTTTGTTTCCCATTACTGTAGGTTCCAGGCCCACCTGCCAGTCCTAAAATATGCTGTTCCCATATTTTTTTTGCTTAGTACAAAAATATGAGTCCTAAACGTATTTGGATCTCCTTTCATCAAGGCCCCATCTTGTTGAGCAATAGTAATGTGTTTTGTATGTGTGTGTGTTTAACTTTTAGCTCACTGCAGCAAGCTTAATGTGATTGAGAACCCACCTTAAATGTTGCCGGCTAATATGTTTGAAGTCATGTTAGCTGGCCATATGGTGTTTCTTTGGGAGCCTCAGAAGCTCTAGCCCACATCTTAATAAGCTAGGGTGGTATTTTTAGTTGCATTAAGCTTAACTGAATGAGCTAATATGATTCAAGACTACATTTTTATGATCATCAAGATATGACCCAAGACACAATTACAAATATTGCTTTGCCTTCATGGTTTTACGTTTCTCTTGTTTTTATAAACTTTTAAATGTCTTAAATTGCTATCTGCCTATCTACTATACTCGAGGTTTGGCCAAGCGACTCATGTGGCTAATGAGACCATTTTATCAGTTCTTAGTGTAGTAATTTAGAATTCTACATAGTCAAAATCCACCTCCGTTAACCTTTGGTAACTGCCTTTCCAAACTGACTTTTGAAGATGTGTCCAACCTACCTAAACTAGCAGTGCTGTGCTTGCCTGTGGCCAAAAAATTAGGAAATCTAATACTTCTTGAAAGTGTGAACTGTATGTGGCTGAGGTGCTTTTGATCCCTTAACCATTTTATGATTTTGACTATTACTATATCCTCCCAATGGCCCTTATGAGATGTTGAGTTTTGCTGTTTATGCCTCAAAAAATTCTGAAATGAAAGATATGTGAACAAGGCATTTTATTTTCCTTCACAAGCTTTACCTAATATGACTAGCTGAGAACTTTAACTATGTATTGGGTAATTGGCTTTCCTGCATCCCATGTTTTTAATTGCTTGAATATATAATCAACTCAAGGTACATTTCTTGTACTCTAATGAATTTTAATAGAAAAGTTTATTTCCAGATGGATCGGCATTGGAATAGCTTTTCGGCTATCTTATATCTGTAATTTAAATTAACACATTGATGCCAAAACATTTCTTTATAAGAAATTAATGTAGAATATATTATTTAATCATGTACTTATTTTATCTGGGCAAATCAAAGTGACTTTTTAAAAATGCAAAGTTCCCAAGAGTTCCCTAATATTATACCACTGGATCAACATCAGCTCAGTAACTCTTGTAATTTAGATAAATGTTAAAACATATCATTTCAGAGATACTTCTTTAAACTTCAATTAACCATATTTTAATTCACCTTTAACATTTATACATGACTTAAAAACCTGAGCAAATTGAGCTCTTTCTTTCTTGCTAACAGAAGGTTGTGGAGTAGAGGTGTCTACAGTAATGTAACTTCAAAGTTTTTTCAAGGCACTGAAAGTCCTCAACTGAAGAATATGACTTCCAGCTGAACTATGAAAAGGAATATGCATAGTCCAAGTTTACTTGTACATGGACATTAAGAAAACTTTACTGCTGACATAAATTTGAGTGGTATTGACCATCACTTGCAATTTGCTGTTAAAAGGTAGAAACAAATTCATAGAGTGGGTTATCAGCTGCCACTGACTTTGGTATGTGATCTTCAGCATTACTGAAATCCCGTGTGCCACAGTTTCTTAACTTGTAAAGCTGGGATGCTAACCATTTCTTAATAGTGAAGTTGGGAGAATTAAATGGGTAATGTTTATAGAGTGGAAATCGTCAAAAGAACCAGAAGCATAACAACCAGGTTCTATGTCCTGGATGGCAACAGGGACCAGACTGACTGCGATGGCAGCTGCAGTTCTTGTGCTTATTATAAGTGGGTGCCCAGGGCTATTGCCCCTGTTGCCCACTCCGTATAACACTTCTGAGAATAAAGGCACATGCAGTTTAAATGCTGCCTCTGTAAGCTGGGAAGAGTCTAGCATAGTCAGTGGTAAGGTCACTGAACCAAAAGTCAGTTTTGCCCACATCTCTGTTCTTCCTTGGCTTGCTACTTAAACTTGAGCAAATCACTTAACTTCTCTGTGCCTCCCCAGCAGTTATATAAAGCTATTTAGTTGCTCGTGTAATGTAATTTCAGATCCATGCATGAAAAAATGTTCTATGTATTATGTTTTAATATATTTGTTTTCTTGTGATTGAAATATTTTTCTTCTTTCTCTCCCTGCAGAAATGAAATTGGAAGAATTGGTATAATATCAGTTGCAGTTTACAGTTTTTAAAAAAATTACTTGTAGTCATTAATTTAATTTTAGTGAAATTTATTTCCATTCCAACCCAAATGACAAGTCAGGAAGGTCCACCATATCTCAGTTAGAACTGAGGCCAGTTGGTTTTCTCTATCTGTTAAAACATTCAGGAATTGCTCTAGGTCACTGTGGATGACACCCAGACCATAGGATTTGATTTTTGCAGGCCCTCATATGGAAGGCTGTTGAGTCCCTGAGACTCTGACTGATGTGCATTATGTCCATATTGTCATAAATGCATCTCTGCCCATGATATTCCTGCATGTACTCTATTTCAGGAAAAGCAGAGATTTCTGACAGATGTCGTACATGAAGTGATGCTGCTTGATGGTTTGGCCAGTTCACATCCAGTATCACAGGAGGTGCAACAAGCCACAGACATTGACAGGGTGTTTGACTGGATCGCCTACAAAAAGGTGGGGATAGATAAACCACACATCTGTGTTCAATTTTTAAGTAATTGTATTTGGAAGACTTGTTATACGTGAAAAAATAACCATATAAGAAAAATAACTAGTTACGAAACTTAAATGCACGTGGACTCTTTGGGTTTAAAGTAACTAACCTTAGGCACTGTACTCAAGACGTTCAGAGTTATTAAATGATATAAATAAAACTGAAGGTTTTAAGAGTTTAGCAAAGGAAAATTATTATTATTTGTTACTTATATTGTCTTTGTGCACAGACTTTAAATGCTTTAAAGCTGAAGAGAGAAGTGCAGTCGCTACCCTAATGAGAATCCAGAGAAAATTTTTGAAGCATCATCTTCAGTACCCATTGTAACCAAATAAGGTGGTTTCTTTTGTGAGAAAAAGTTAGTAGTGTATAGCCATGAAGATCCAGGAAGTATGTAAGAGGCAAGCATTTTTGTGGGCAATATCTTTTATTGGACCAACTGCATGGTTGGTATAGACTTAGAAAAGCTTTCAAATGTAGTGCATTCTTCTTCAGTTCTTTTTAAATTCATTTTTGTGCAATAACTTTGTGGCTTATTCCTGGTTTTGTGATGCCATTAATTGTATTAATGTACGGCCAGGTAACAACTGAAGATGTGATTAACTGGTTTATCACGTCTTAAGTGTAATGTCTGCCAGGGGCTCTAGCCCTTCCCTTCCACTAATAGCAAAACAATGCTAAGTGCTGCCATGGAGAAGGTTGAGGAATGCAGCTATATGACATGCAAGGGGTCATGTGCTATCAGTATCCTGATCTTTTTCTAAAATCAAACCACTGCTCTTGAGTTGTACATAGGCTGTGATCTGTTTTTTATCTGATTATTGTAAGAGAATATGTCAGGGCTATCTCCTTGTATCTTTATAGCATAGATTTAATTATATTTTGAGAATGAAATTTGATATCATTTAAGGCAACACAGTTAGCAATTGGGGGATTTTCCCTTATTTACTTAGAGATAGTTTCTATTGACTTAAATGGTAATTTCCTCCATGTATCTGTGGGTTGAATTATGTTGTAAGTACCTTTAATATAGCAGTAAAACAATTTATTCTTTCATTGGTTCTTGTAAGTTTTGTTAAAAGGCTTTGGTAATTTTTAACTCCAATTTTTCTGTCTGGATCACAAATGGTCTATGAAGCTTAGATAATGCAGAAGTCTTAATTAAAAGAATCAGATAAGCTTTCTAGATACGATTTGCTGAAGAGATATAACCAGTTCACTTAATCCACTCTATTTTAAATCCCATATCAAGTGAAAGAAAGGACTTGCAACCATGAAATAATAAAGAACCAAGTGAAAAATAATGCTTCAATAAGTTTATAAGTACAATAAAAAATCTTTGCACCCATTCTTTACATATTAATTATATTAAATATATAGTGAGGAAATGTTTTTGTAGTTCACCAGTATATAATAATTCTGTTACTGAGGGGATTTTGTTGTTCCACTTTCACATGTAGGCTGGAAACAGATTGGTTGCGCCATGATATGTTGTGGCACAGCTGAATGTGCTCTGCGGATTTTTATAGATGTTGCCAGTCACCATGCACTAACTTGGGAGACAAGTGGGGGAAAACTTCTACTTGCAGATATGCCCCTATGTTGTAGTGGGGAGTCTGTGTGTCTGTATGCACGAAGGGGGGAACTCCTGTAAGGGTTTCCTTTTCCCCATTTGCAGATATGCCTGCACAAATGTGTGTTGGGGGAAGCGCCCATAGGGTGGGTCCCCCTCTGTGCTTGTAGATGGGGGTTGGGAGGAATCCCTGCAGAGGGATTCCTCTGGCACACATATCTGCTGTGCCCTGACATGGGGTGTGTGTTTCTAAGTAGGAAACCCCAACTTGCAGACATGCATTTTTGGGATAAAGATCTGACCTTTCCCCTTTACACAGCTGTGTCCCCAGGGATCCCTAAGACATGTCTAAGTAAGTGGGGAAAGCAAAGCAGGTGCTCCCAAAGCCTGGGGGAATGATCCTGCCAGGGAATTCCCATGGTGTGCAGGACCAGGCCCCGCAAGCCCTCGGCAGTTAAAGATCTTCATTTAGCTTCATGCTGGCTGTTTTCTTTTGCCATAAAGAAACAGATGTGGCCCTCAGTAAAGTAGCCCAATTTAATACCACCTTCTGTATGGCCACTAATTTGAGCATTTGTGGTGTGACAGAATCTACAGACCTGTTTGGTTTCACTTTGTGCCACCAGAGGAATTTTTGTTGAGACACAAAGATAAAATCTATTTCTACCTCTAGAAGATCTTTCTACCAGAAGGGACATATTTCCCCTGGGAGAAATTCAGTGAATACTTGTGTGGCAAGTGGCGATTCTCCTGGTAGAAGCATAATGTCTGTAAGTAGCCTAAGTCATAAAGATATAGCTATTATAAAACTTTTATGTATCATAGTTTAATGGGTTTTTGGCAACAAAGCATTTAAAAAAAATATTTCAGACATACTAAGGAATATGTGTTTTGTAGACAGTTCATCCTGCTTAAATTCTTGCTTTTCTCTTGGGCAGCAAGAGAGGTGGTTTAGCCAGAAAAGTCAGCTCGCTATTATTTTCTTAATATATACAGTTCTTTCCTCCTGAATCAGATGACATCAGATTCTGATTGCATATGATCATATTATGCTTATACAGTGCTAAAGCAAGAAGGAGCCACTCTCTTTCAGGCAGTATCTTTTCTCATTGAGCAGCAATGCCTGGCCTCAACTTGACCTTCTGTTTGAAAGATGCAGGTTGAAGAATTTTGACTGTACATGACCTAGTGATTTTTATTTTTAAAGTGCGTGCATGTGTGTGCGCACATGCATGCACCTGTGTGTGTATGTGTGTGTGTGTGTGTGTGTGTGTGTGTGTGTATAAGATAGCATATAAAAACCTTAGTCACTTGGAGGTTTTGAAATTATTACTCTTGATCAATGAGGTTATAATATTCAGTAGCTTACAATATGCTGATTTATTCTTATTTAAATTATCTTCCAACCATAGATATTCTTTCTAGTGATGTCTGAAAATCAGCAAGTTCAGAGGTTCATTCTTGATGAGTATCTAGAACATTTCATGCTGTTTATTTTTGTCTAATTAATATGATAATAGCAATGTTAATATCATACTTAGCCCTTATCTTTTTATTGTAAAAGCACTTTACAAACATTAAATATTTTCATTTGCATTGAAATGATAAATAGGGCAGTAGAACACACGCATAAAATAGCTAACAATTTATATAATATAAAAGGAGAACTCAGCTTTCTGAGGAGATGAGAATACAATCTGTATATTGTATAAATGTGATTGCATTGTAACATTGTAATGGTTCCATTTTACTGGATATAGTGGCCCAGCCCAGTGGATATTGCTGCATCTCAGGTCCTTTGCCAGACTTTCAGATTGCTCAGCAGTCTCATCATCTTAGTACCAGTGTATTTAATGATTGAACTTACAGGGTGCTGATAATTTTTAGTGCACTATTTTAAGGAGGCTAGATAATTACCTCGCTGGGGTCGTTTGACCCCAGCATTCTTTCCTGCCCATGGCAGGGGGTTGGACTTCATGATCTGCTCAGGTCCCTTCCAACCCTATCAACTCTGAAACTATGAAGTGTATGAGCAGTAATACCAGGGAAATGACTTAAGGTGAAATTATATGTTACACTTAGACCATGCTGAGGGCATTTAAAATGTGTCTACATATGGGGCTGGATGAGAAGCATCCCAGGGTGCTGAGGGATTTGGCTGATGTGACTGCAGAGCCATTGGTCATTATTTTTGAAAATTGATGGTGATCAGGGGAGGTCCGAGATGATTGGAAAAGGGCAAACATAGTGCTCGTGTTTAAGAAGGGGAAGAAGGAGGATCCAAGGAACTATAGAGCAGTTAGCCTCAACTCAGTCCCTAGAAAAATCATGGAGCACATCCTCAAGGAATCCATTTCTAAGTGCTTGGAGAAGAAAAAGGTGATAAGGAACAGTGAACATGGATTCACCATGGGCAAGTCATGCCTGACCAACCTGATTGCCTTCTATGACAAGGTGACTGGCTCTGTGGATGTGGGGAGACCGGTGGTATACCTTGATGTTAACAAGGCTTTTGATATGGTCTCCCACAGCATTATCACAAGCAAGCTAAGGAAGTATGGGCTGAATAAATGGACTGTAAGGTGGATAGAAAACTGGCAGGAGCATCACTGGCTGAACTGTCAGGCTTAGAGCGTAGTAATCAAGGCTTAATGTCTAATTGTTAGCTGGTATCAAGTGGAGTGCCCCAGAGGTCAGTCCTGGGGCCAGTTTTGTTCAATGTCTTCATCAAAGACCTGGAAGGTGGGATGAAGCACACCCTCAGCAAGTTTACAGATGACACCAAGCTGGGAGGTAGGCTAGTATCTACTACCGTAGATATGCTGAAGGGTAGGGTTAGGATTCAGAGTGACTTAGACAAATTGGAGGATTGGGCCAAAAGAAATCTCATGAGGATCAACAAGGAGAAGTTCAGAGTCCTGCAGTTAGGATGGAACAATTCCATGCACCAGTACAGGCTGGGGGCTGACTGGCTGGGCAGCAGCTCTGCAGAAAAAGATGTTGGGGTTACAGTGGACAATAAGCTGAATATGAGCCAGCGGTGTGCCCTTGTTGCCAAGAAGGCTAATGGCATGCTGGGCCGCATTGTTAGGTGTGTTGCCAGTAGTTCAAGGGAAGTGATTCTTCCCCTCTATTCAGCACTGGTGAGGCCACATCTAGAGTACTGTGTTCAATTTTAGGCCCCCCACTACAGAAAGAATGTGGACAAATTAGATAGAGTCCAGCAGAGGGCAGTAAAAATGGTGAAGGAGCTGGGGGACATGATTTATGAGGTAAGACTGAGGGAACTGGGTTTATTTAGTCTAGAGAAGAGAAGACTGAGAGGGGATTTAATAGCAGCCCTCAACTACCTGAAGTAGGGTTAGAAAGAGGATAGATCTAGACTCT